TCAGTGCCGACGGGGTTGCCACGAACCCGGAGAAGACGGCGTGCGTCCGCAACTGGCCAACCCCGGCCACGGTGGGGGATGTGCGTCGCTTCTTGGGGTTTGCCTCATATTACCGTAGGTTCGTTCCCAACTTTGCAACGATCGCTAGGCCTCTGCACCTCCTTACGGGTAAAGGACGGAAATTCAGTTGGGGACCGCCAGAGGAAGCGGCGTTTAAGGGCCTACGCGATCGTTTGGCGACGGCGCCAACATTGGACTATCCCGATTTCGATCACCCTTTCATTCTGGACACGGACGCGAGTGACACTGGCATTGGGGCCGTTCTGTCGCAGTCCAAAGGCAGTGTGGAACGCGTGGTAGCGTACGGTAGCCGCGTCTTGTCCCCCGCAGAAACCCGCTACTGTGTTACTCGCCGCGAACTTTTGGCCATTGTCTATTTTCTCCGCCAATTTCTGCCGTATCTCTACGACCACAGGATATTCTCCAGGATATTCTCCTATTCTCCTCTCATGCGTCCACAGGATATTCTCCATTTTTTCTCTAGTACGGTCGCGAAAACGTGCCGCCAATGGACGTGCAGTTGGGAACGGGAGCGAGAAGCCCTATTAAGCCTCTCCCCAACTACATTCAGGACGCCGTTCGCCGCGTCGCTGAGGCGCGGGAGGGGGCCCGATTGGCTACTGCCAAGACCCAGGCCCGTAACGAACATTGCGCTCGACGCTCGAGGGGGAAGTGCCCCTGGAAGGTGGGGGACATGGCTTGGCTGCATTGTCCGCAGGTGCGAGCAGGAACCTCCCCTAAATTGCATAAACCATGGCAGGGGCCTGTTAGGCTCACTGAGGTTCCTAACCCGCAGTCCGCGCGCGTTCGGTTCGGATCTCGGCGCTGGTACGTCCATACGTCTCGGTTGAAACCATACGTGGCCCCACGGACGGATGCGTCATCTCCTGATGTTGCCTTGCCGGTGTCTGTTGCTGCCAACGCACCCTTGCCTATGCCTGTTGACCCTGCAAGAGCGCCTGTCGTGCCTTCTACAGACGAACCGGCCGTGACACTGATGGAGGCAGTGGACTCTGCTCTGGGTGGGCCTACCACGGCTGCGGGGACACCTGAACCCGCCGCCCCTCCAAACCCACCACAGACACGATTGCGGGACACCCCGGACTCTGGTCCTTCGGGGGAATGGGACCTTGGCATTGGCGGGCCTCCAATAGCGACAGGCGGTTTTGATCATGTCGCTCCTAAAACCCCGTCGCGTTCTCGGTCTGCAGGGGGGCCGCCGCTCGTCCGGGACGGGCCGGCGACCCGCACGCGTTCTAAATCTCTTTCTTTTCGTTGATTGTTGTTGTTCTTGTTGTTATTGTTATTATCGTTATGTTCTTCGTTGTCCGGTCACGGCTGATGGTTGGAGGTCGCTCGCATTACTTGTTCTGTTTCAGCTGAGGACGGCTGGAATTTTCTCTACGGGGGAGGGTGGTGTAATGCGAGCGTAAACGGGCTCGCTGGATGTGACGTAACAGGTGGGAGGAGTTAGGGTCACGTGGGGAGAGAGAGAGATTTTAAGGACAGGAACCAGAAGGGCTCGAGGAGAGTGTGAGAGTAGAGAGAGAAGGAGGCCACGCGGGGCAGGAGAAGGAAAGTGGCGTGATCGCCACAGGGTTGGGACTCGACACCGTCGGCCATCGGTGTCCGGGCACAGAGGCGACAGAGAGCCAGCAGCGGGGCTGCATAGTGAGCAGCAGTGGGGCTGCAGATCGGGAAGCAGAGAGGCTGCGTAACGAGCCAGCAGCGGGGCTGCATAGTGGGGCAGCAACGGGGCTGCAGGAGCGACGGCAGCAGTGGGGCTGCCGAGCGGGGGACGGAGGAGACACTGAGCGAGACGCCGTGCGGGCAAGTTGTACGAACCAATAAAGGACAACGGAGACAGACCCAGTGCAAGAGTCCTTTATTACACACGCAACCCACTTCGAGCAGTGGTTCTTTAACCTTTACTGCAGCCTTGCACCCCGTGGGGTCTCAATCATATTTAAAAAGTAATAATATTAATACAAACATAGGGCTTGATGAAACACAAAGTAGTTGTGACGTGCCCGTTCTTAATTCGTGTTTTGCTGCTTTCATAATAAACATTTTTGGGTTAGATCGCGTTATTTATGAATGTGTCGTAAAGACAAATAGTTCACTACTTTAGCCCACCGGTGGGCTAAAGTAGTAAACTATTTTGTCTTTTGTCAACGTGACACTTTTTTACTGATTGGCCGTTTCGGGTAGTGGAGGGTTACGACACATTTATAAATAACGCGATCTAACCCAAAATGTTTATTATGAATAATATTGGTCTCGAAAGCCTACGTGTTAAACTTTCGATGCTTTAACTTCTAAAACATATCTGGCCATGTCTCGCTACCCCCAGAAAGGGCATCTCGCACCCCCAGCGAGTGCGTGCACCCCCAGGTTGAGAAGAACCACTCATTCTCTTAGGTTTTTTCAGTAAATTCACGTAGGTAAAATAATCAAATTAAAAATTACTAAAAGTAATAATATAAATAAAATACTAAATCAAAATAATAAATAAATTACTTTTAGTTATTTTTTCTTTAATTTTTTTACCTACGTGACTTTACCGAAAAAACCTAAGAGTATGAATTCTTGCAATCACGAAAGCTTCAAATCTAGAAAAACCACTCACTCCGAGTAGTCTTCGCGAGTTTCAGGACCCTGCAGTATAAAGCGTTACCCCCCAGGCTGACCAACTTACACGAACAACTTTACAACTTACGCCTCCCCCCTTCCCTGGCCCTTGTCCCACAATTCCTTCCTTGATTTGTCATCTCCCTTCTGTTGCACCACATGCGGGCATTCGCGAACCACGGCGCGAGTTGCCCTTCTATTTATGATACTCACCGCATCTCTGCGCCGTGCAGATTGAAAACTATTTTCATGAGACACCTGCTGTTATGTGTTTAGTTTGTTGTACCCCCCCCCGCGCACCTCCGACTAGCACGGTTGGCTACGTACGGTGCAAAAGAAGTCCAACATAGATATTTCAACGGAAGAGGAAGGCCCACTCCACCCTGTCCAGAAGCCTCGTCTCCATCGAGGGTGAGGCCGTAGGCGGTGGGACTGCCCTTGCGGTAAGCTCTGAAGACGGCGAGGATGAGGAGGCTTCCCCGCCAGGTGGCGTAACTAACCCAGGTTTGGAAGATACAAACAAAACATCACTGGTGTCCCCACGAGAGCAGTACATGCCCCCATCCCCTTGGTCTGTAGAAGGGTCGTTGGCCCAAAACGTCAGGCCACCACAGTACAGTATAGAGCAGGAGGCTGTGGACGCACACGGTCTCCGGCGTGCCAGGCGGACTGCTTTGTCACCTGCCACGTGCTGGGGGAGGGTGTCTCATGGCGCTGTGGCTACACCGTGGGCTGACGGCCACTCACACAATACAAATATACTTAACATTGACAAACATTTTTTTTTCTTGAATATCTGGCGCTCTAACTGTATGGCAGTTACGTGTAATAGCATTCGCTAAATGCATAGTACAGTATATATATAGATTGTAAAGCGTCGTTAACGATTACATTTTGAATCATTACTATGCTCCAATCAACACTTGACCGGCGTGGTGAAGTATGGCCTAACAAAACACCCACGACCCGCACGGTGTGTGTGGGGGGGGGGGGGGGGGGCTCGTCCAGCAAAACACCCACGACTTGCACGGTGTGTGTGGGGGGGGGGGGGGGCTCGTCCAGCAAAACACCCACGACTTGCACGGTGTGGGGGGGGGGGGGGCTCGTCCAGCAGTGAATGCACGAATGAGCTCCAAACGTGTGGACACGTTCGGCTGTGTTGCACGACCTTTTGGAACGGTCTTGCTGGGTTTCCAGTCACGAGTTTGAGACCATGACCTGCTCGCACGACATGAATGGATGCATACAAAAACGAATACAATCTCAGTTGCAGTCGCTGCATCCCAAATTAATTTGCTTAACACAATTATGGATGGGGAATAATTTTGGTGAAGTGGCTATCATTTTAATCTTGACTTAAACCTTTCGTGACTGCAGTAATTCATATTCTTGGGTCTTTCGGTAACGTCACGTAGATAGATTCAAATAAACAAATGATAGCTATATAGCTGTCATTTGTTTCATCCGTCCCGTCAATTTCCCATTCCGTTTTGACTTGAAAAATATCGGATATTCTCATAACCCCCAAAAAACAGATGATTGAGAACTCAGTAACCCGTACATGATCTCCATTCACCTCCACGGAGATATATTATTATTATAATTATCACGGCACCGCTTTCTTACGATCCTACCCACGCCACGGAGAGACAGGGCGAGGATCGTGGCAGTGCGCGTGTCACGCACGCGCACAACGCGGAGTGTCGAATGTATCAGTGTGCCCCCCACCCCACTTCCCATAACCAGCGCTCGCAGCTCCTCACCCTCCCATGTGTTAACCACCACCCCGCACCCACCCACCCACCCCCACATCTAGCACCCCCCTCCCCCCGCGTGTTTATTTCAAGCCGAGAACGGCCAACCTTGTGAAATCACAGTCACGAGCGGGCTCTGTAATTACGGATGCGCACGACCTGTAACGCCGATGCGGCGTTGTTTATTGTTGGAGTCGCGGCGTAGATCGTGCGTCTCAGACGCAAATAGAGACGAAGGCAAAGTGTCGTCGTGCCAGTAGTCGGTGTCTTGTTCACTACATCTCCACGAGAGTCGATTGGCATTCAAAAAAAATCTATTCAATTGTCTCGCACCAATCTTGCTGCGCTGGGACATCTGCTCAGCCACTAGAAATCGTCAGCGAGCCGACACTGCCGCACACGTGCAGGCAGCTGTACACGCGCGTGGACGCACGCCCCCGCTGCAGCCCGCGAGCTCTGCGCATCACGGGTCGTCATCACGAGCAGCAGCAGCAGGAGCAGCAGGAGGAGCAGGAGGAGGAGGCGAGGGGTGAGAGTCCGTGGTGACGCGGGGCTTGTATAAAAGCCGCGACGCCACGAGAGTGCTCCAGCTACCGCAGAGGCTGCCAACCACGACTCTGCCCCTCCTGCTCCAGCTACTCCCCTCCCAGCCCCCGCCCCCCCCCACACCTTTATCTATCCATCGCTCCCCTCCCATTCCCTCCTCTCGCTCCGTCCGATCTCTCGCCGGAGCTCGGAGACTCTGTCCGAGGTCCATGCGCTCCTGGGGGGGTGCCTCTCTGCGCGTCCTCGTCAGCCGCAGACCCCAAGAGCTCCCCGGGCTGACTCGCCCAGAGGGCTCCGCTCGCTGAGGCTCGGCTCGCCTCCCCCCCCCCCCCCCGTCCATCTCAAAACCCACGGTCATCCTCAACCCGGCGGACACCATGAACGTCTCCGATTTTCTGGACATCGCCGTGCTCTCGGCCGCTCTCGCGAACTCGTCCAGCGCGGCGGACGGCAACGGCACCGCGGTGCGACTGGGCGCCACTCTGTGCTGCTTAGAGAACGCGACGGCGGGCGGGCAGGTGCCGCCAGCCGGGGGAGACGGGAGCGGTCCCCTCGGCCCCCTCGCAGACGCGGGCCGCCTCTACATGTTCCGCCTGACCCAGATCGCCGTGATGTGCGTGCTGTCGCTGACGGTGGTGTTCGGCGTCTTCTTCATCGGGTGCAACCTGCTCGTCAAGTCGGAGGGCATGGTCAACCTCCTCGTGCGGGAGCGCCGCCACTCCAAGGACGTGGAGGCGGTCATCGTGAGGACTTAACCCGCCCGGGGGGGGTCGTTTGGCCGCAGGAGGTGGAGCATGACACGAGGTGTGTGGGTTGGGGGGGGTACGTACGTGGAGCCCCCCCACCCTCTCCCCCTGACCCCCCTCGCCCCCCCCCCCCTTCTTGAGTGCGGCTGAGCAGCAGGTGGTTGCGCAATCTCGTCTCGCAGTGCCGCCGAGCAGAAGGAGCGATCGTCCTCGTGAAGAGCGCGACTCGACACGGAAGAAGCGAGGATGTGTGTCCACGGTGCCGAGCAGAGCGCGCCTGGCACGTGAAGATCTAAGCGCGACAACGGCTGTCGCGACAACGGCTGTCGCGACTAACAGGTGTCGCGACAGCGCGAGACTCGAGCGATCGCGCGCGTGTGCGCGTGGGGCTGGAGGCGCTGTGCATTCCAAACTCGCCTTAGCGGATGGAGTTAAACGGTTTATGGCCCCCTTATCTGCGTTATGCGTAAAATGCGACGTGTCAAGTGCTCGTCGGAGTTTCGTGTGTCCGCGGATGCGCGGATGCGTGTGTGTGTGTGCGCGCAGTGGTTAGAGCACTGCGCTGCGAACCCGACTACCCGCGTTCGATTCCCATTCACAAACCAAGAACAGTGGGGAATATTTAAACCGGTCATGGGCCTCCCCAAGGTCGACTGAAGATTGAATAATGAGTACCTAGTGCGGTGTATAAATATCAGCACTCATGAGACAAAGGGGGTAGGGCGTGGTGCTGGCCCACCCACCCCTCGTGTGCCGTGCCGGCCCTTCATAGGTGCTCGCTAACAGCACTTGCCCTCCCTACACGGGGGGGGGGGGGAATCTTCGTCTTCGTCTCGTGCGCGCGCGGTACGGACGCGCGTTGCGCATGCGCATGATGGATATGCTTTTTGACGTCGTGAGTGGTTTCGTAACGATCTCGCAAAGGAGCGAATAAAATTGTGCGTGGAGAAACTTCTCTGTAATCGCTTTGATTGCCGCTCGGCTCGTGACCCACGCGGCCACGCGGTTGACTGCGAGCGAGCGAGCGTGCGCGGCGCGCCCTGTCTCGTGCACACCTCGTGCGATGCGCGCACTCACGACAAAGACAACGATCCCCCTCTCCCCTCCCCCCTATAGCCTGTAACAGATTGTTGGGGCGATGTGCCAGCGCGCAACACGCCTCGGCGGGCAGGGCGCCCGCAGGGTGAAGAAAATGCGTCCATCAGGTTGGTGCGAAGGGAGTGGGTCTGCTTGTGCGTCTTCGCAGAGAACTTCGTTATCCCACATCCACGCGCGGATTTATGCACGTTGGACTTCTTTCGCACCGTACGTGACCAACCGTGCTGACCGAAGGTTCGATAGCAAAATCATCATCATCATTATTAACTCGTCTTACCGCTCTTGTTACGAAGAGAAACCCCCCTCCGTTTATGGTTCCACTGAGCGCCTCACCACCTCAGTGAGCCAGAGCCTCTGTCTCGAGATGAAGACGAGGAAAGCGGCAGCTCCCGCGTGTGCAACCATTCGGGCAATCGATCCACTGCCGGATGAGTTCCTCCCCACGACGTGCAGATCGAAGGGGGCGGGCGGTGATATTTGACCATACCTCACCTAACCTGGCAGCACGCGGCCTCTCTAAAGGCGAACGCGTGCGAGCGTGCACGTGGGAGCATATACGTACAGTGCAATCTATGGGGTTTCGCTGCAACGGCCATCTGCTGTGGTCACCGAGTAGCCACGAGGCCCTACAGCATCTGGTATTCCCGTCGTACACAAGAGCAACGCAGCACTGTGTCACTACTGGCGGTATCCCGCGAGAGAGACGCGTACTTAGTTACGCCCAAGTATCCGGAGGGTGATTATTCACGCTCTGTCGCAGCGATTACTCGTGCGTGGTTCACCATCGCGAGAGGAATGCCCGGCTCTGACCTTCATGCCCGCTTCTTCATGGTTTCGCGTCTACTCAGAGCCACGGTGGGGAAGGGGGGCTAGTGGAAGGGGGGCTCGTGGAAGGGGGGTGGTGGAAGCGGGTCCCTGCCGAAGACAGGCGACGTGGCCACCCGGCAACAACCGCTGCGACGCGGCGACCGAGTCGAGCTTCTGAGTGACACCTGGCAGAGAGGGGCGGGCGGGGCGCATTGGAGGAAGGGGGAACGATTGGAACCGCCTCCTCTCTCTCACCTTCTCTGCCCCCCTCCGCACCCCCCACCAAATCCCACGCATCGCCCGCCCCCCCCATCTCCCCCACAGCCACCACCCCAACACGGCTGTCTCTTGGAAACGGCGACCAAAATAGCGCTTCGAGCTAACGCGTGAGAATACAGCTCATTAGGCACGCGCCCTCGGCGTGTGTACGCGTGTGCGCACGCATGTGCGCACGCGTGTGTGCACGTGTGTGGGCTGTACTTGCATGCTGAATGTACGCGTGTTACGCGTGTGCAAGTGCGTACGTGTGTGCACGCGAGCGTGTGTGCGCGTGGGTCCGAGCTGCACGTGCGTGTGATTGTAGCGGGTGTGTGCGCGTGCACGCGTGTGTGCGCGCGTGCTCACGCGGGCGAATACAATTGCGCGTGGAGCGGTAGTGCAATGGTTAGCGACCCGACTTCAATTTCCGCTCACGGCCAACACCAGTGACGAAAATCTGAACCATTACTGGGCCTCCCCTAGGTCGACTCAGCCTCAAATGAGTACCTGGTAGCGTGAATAAACATCATCACTAGGGAGACAAAGGCGGCCGGGCGTGGTGCTGGTCAAGCACCCCCTCGTGTGCCGTGCCGGCCTTCATAGATGCTCGCTAGCAGCACTTGCCCCAATAGCCAGGCGGTCAGATGGCGCTAAATTCCAACCCCTCCCGCCACCCCCAAGGTCTGCGTTCATCTAAAGATGAAGGTGTTATCGGCCACTTAGAGTGCTCCTCCGATTTCAATTACCGATTTGCCATTTGGAAGCTCATGAAGTTCGCAAGTTTATTCCGACGAGGGTCAATTGCCGAAAACATTTCACCTCTTGTTCAGGAGGATTCGATTAATTCCGCTCCCGCGCTGCTTATCCGATCAGTGGTTTACAATAACCGACGCGTGACGGAAAAAACGGTTTCAAAATCACACAACGGATCAGCATAACCCGGCACCTCTGAACATGAACGGTGCTCTCCGTCTCATCTTTAATTCCCAGCGCATCTCAACCATGCGCGAAGGGGGGGGGGGGGGTGGGGGCGGAACTCGGAGCCCTAAGGTGTGCACCTAACAAGATAAGAGCCGCTTATCGTTTTTTTTCGTTGAGTTCCCCATTTCCCCCGGAACGATCCACCGTCCTGCCTCGGAGATAAATCGGCCGGCCTCGTGCCACGCGCGGTCACACCGACTCACTCTCGAGTCACGCAGGAGGAAACCTTCGGGCACAAACTGCCTCGGGTGGCGCACGTGGCGCTCCGCGCGCGAGGCACGTGGCAGCCCCGGCACCCGCTGGTGCTAGCGCGGTGATTCGCACGGGCTCCTTGAACGCGCGCGCGTTATTTATATCTTAGCAATTTATTTACGTGGAAGCCGAGAGCTCTTCGGCTTAGCTTCGACACGGCGAGCGGATGACAAGGCGTTGAATCCAGCGCTCGCGTGAATGGCAGGTTGGCGCCGGAAATAGGCAGCGCCGCTCCGTGATGGTTTAATTGGAGATCATGATACGTATATATATTTCTTATTTCTTATTCTTCCACTCTCATTCTTTTTTTTGCGAGAACGAAGCGCGGGCAGAACGAACGCGCCAGTGTGCGGATGGCGTAGGACCCGCGCGCAGCGCGTGATGCTTTGTGCAATTAATTTGCAGTTCATCCATCCCCGGAGCGGCTGCCATATCTAAAGAGGGCTTTGGTCTGAGCTGGCAGACGCGGTGCAGTCGATAAGAACTCGCGGCTCGCGTCGTGCCTCTAAGCTGCTGGCAGCGCGAGGTGGCCGCGCGGCTCAGAGGTCGGAGCCCCGGGATCGTCACACGGGTGTTAGTGGAGCGAGATGATGGTCTCAGCTTGCAGGATCATCATTGGCAGTGAACAACATTAAAAAACCACCGTGAGATGTATTTGATCTTGCGCTTCATTTTATTTGGCTGCATTTTAATTCTGAAAATTACTAAAATATGAAAACGCCCATTTGCAACTGTGCTGGGATGAGGCGGAGAATCGAATGTGTTCGATGATGGTTGATGGTTCCTTCGTCAGCGATGGATTCGTTGCGGCGTCTTGGCACGCCGCAAGTAGCGCTATACAATGGGGGAAATCACAGAAGCAAAGAGAAACTTCCGACACGCAAACTATTCCTCTCGCTCAAAACCAAACACGCGTTAAAATGGCATTGGCTAAGCACCCGAGTAATGCGGGGCGCTTCTCGAAAACGATTTGTGGGGCTCGTGGAGAGGCGGTCGTGGCTCAAACAATTGGCGAGGCAGTAACGAGCACTCTATGGCCAGACGTAGACCATACCTCACCAACCTGGTCGGTGCGGGTGCAATGAATGTTCGACTCTGTCGTTGGAGGAGAGTTGCGTCGATGTCTTCCTGCGACAACGCAGCGGAGGACGAGTCGGCAAGGCAGGGGTCCTCTCTGGGCTCTGTGAGCAAACCCACGTGGGCTCTGTGAGCAAACCCACGTGGGCTCTGTGAGCAAACCCACGTGGGCTCTGTGAGCAAACCCACGCGGGCTCTGTGAGCAAACCCACGCGGGCTCTGTGAGCAAACCCACGTGGGCTCTGTGAGCAAACCCACGTGGGCTCTGTGAGCAAACCCACGTGGGCTCTGTGAGCAAACCCACGTGGGCTCTGTGAGCAAACCCACGTGGGCTCTGTGAGCAAACCCACGTGGGCTCTGTGAGCAAACCCACGTGGGCTCTGGCTCGCGAACGCGAAACGTCCAAAAACAGAATCTCAGACGCAAATTCAGGGTGCATCTTATGAACGTTCTCAAAAACGTATTTTACTTACCGACAGGGCGTTAATCTATTTTAATTTTTTTTTATATTTGACATCGTGAAAATACGAGCTAAGTCCGCGTCTAATCGAGACTGAATATTTAAATCGATATTCTTTATAGATTTGAAGTTTTCGTGACTGCAAGTATCCATACTCTCTGGTTCTTTCGGTAAAGTCACGTAGGTGAAAAAATTAAGTAAAAAAATAAAATTAAAAAATAAAATATAAACTTAAATAAATTATATTGTGTTGCTTCCGAATCGTCGTGATTTTATTTTTTTATATTTTTCACCTACGTGACTTTACCGAAAGAACCAGAGAGTATCGCTATTCTTTGTATACTTTGTTTAACAATATGCAATCCTATGAACATATTTATATACATACAGTGTATGTATATATATATATGGATGTGTAGGGGTGTTACGGAGGGGCTGTATGCATAGGATCACACGGGAAACAAACATAGTGGGCGGGGCTCCGTGAGTGCACAGGGGAGGTGCTCGCAACGACGTCCGCACTGGGCAGCCTGGGGGGTTGGCCCGGAGTTGTGATCCCCCGGGGGGCCCCACCCCTCAGCAGGGGGTTGTGGTATAAAAGGGGATGAGCCGGAGAGCTCGGGGTACAATGTTAAAGCTAAACCAGTGAAGACCGAAGACCGTCTAGCTAGAGCCCTGGACTCCCCTGGGACGCCGCCCTTGTCAGGGCCGCGCAGGACCAAGCCAGCGGCGTGGTCCCGAGAACCAGAGCTAGTGCTCTGGGACTCCGGGTACCGTAGCCCGACTTACCAATGTCGGGCCAGACAGCCTCCCCTAGCCCGTTAGTGGAGGACTAGGAGGTAGGTCAGAGATAGCTAGCAGTGTATTCCCAGCTAGCCGGGTGAGGGGGCCGATACCCCCTCCAGTATTGTATGTCCGCGGTTGTGACAACTGTTGCGGAATAAATACGTGTGCCTCAACCCCGGGTGTCCAAGAGTCCTCAACGGTATTACAGATGTATGAACTCACACGACAACTCGAGATGCATGCGACGTTTCAAAGCAATT